GTAGAGTAGAAAAATCAAAATTTGGTAAAACTATTTTGTTCCAGAGATAAGGTCCTCGATAAGAAACAAAAAAAAAACTGGTCTTTGCTTTTACGGCAAAAAGGAGCAATAAGATTGTTATTAATTCGAAGATTATATTTGTTTTTATGTTTCATACAATAAAGATTTTGTAATATATTTGGCAAACAAATTTTCTCTACATTTAAACATGAAACATAAAATATTAAAGACATTTAGTTGATATACATTTTAAATATCAATTTCAAAAAATATCAATATCAAAAGTTGTTTCATATGAAAAAACTTTTGATATTGGTTGCGCAATAAATTTAAAAAAAAGATTTTTTAAAATTTATTGCGCGAGCTGCTTGTTTCTGATGAAGGTAAAGAGATTTAAGCTTTGTTCTACGAGTGCTTCCCCATATAATACTCGCGTAGTTTATATGACAATGTATAAATGAATAATATAATTGTGTTAACTGGTGTTTACTTAATATATTTCTTGCTTTATAGAGAATGCATCGGATGCATTTAGCAATTTTATTGCTAAATGCATGCATGCGCACGCGCAAAAAACGACAGGCAAAACATGTTAAATTTTGTTTTAGATCCTGCGTAATTCCAAAACAGTGCAGTCATTTTCTCAAAATATTAGTTTTCATTTTTTTCACTTTGTCATCAAATTATGCCTCATAATAAATTTCACATAAATGTATATATATATATATATATATATATATATATATACATATATATATATATATATATATATATATATATATATATATATATATATATATATATATATATATATATATATATATATATATATATATATATATATATATATATATATATATATATATAGGGGAAAGCGGGGCAACATGGCGAATGGGGCAAGATGGGTTTTCATATAACAACTCAACAAAAAATCTTAAAATTGGGTGATAACAAAACTGTGATTGAATCTTGTATTTTAAAACACTAATTGGTTTTTTGAAATATTATAAATAAAGATGGGCCGATTCCAGAAAATACCGATTCCGATTCCGATTCTTAATTTCGATTCCCATTCTTTACCAATTCCGATTCTTTTGTGATTTTTATTTTTTTAATTTAACTGATAGTGTTTATAGTTAATTTAATGCTTACACAGTCTTTAAAAATAAAAACATTGAAATCAGTTATATTAGTACATGTGAAACAGGGCTAACAACACCGAGGCTCTAGGGAGCACGCCCTCAAAAACTTGTGACGTCTTCAAAAACTTTTAAAGCAGCAACGAGAGAAACCAAACTGTTCCATTCTTCGGTTGACATTTCTTTGTTTTTTCGAGCAGCTTTTGGGAAATGTGGCGTTACCAACAGAATCGCATCTTTTTGTTCAATTAAACGGTTTAGCATGTGGAAGGCGCTATTCCATCTAGTTGGCTCATCTTGAATAATGCTATGTTTAGGAAGTCCTAATATCTCATGAGATTGTCTCAAAAGTTTGTAAGATTTAACCGAATGTTTAAAGTGTCCTACTATTCTTCTACATGTAGCAGTTAGTAAAGAAATGTGTTCATTATCAAGACAGCCATCTTTGACAACCAACTGAAGTGTATGAGCAAGACAAGGAATGCTTGAAAACTTCCCTACTTCCATAGCAGAGACAAAATTTCTGGCATTATCTCTTACTACTACATTAAGTTTTTCAAGTAGTCCCCAACGCTCAAGTGATTCATTAATAAATTTAACAAGATTGTCTGCAGTGTGGGACTCGTAAGGAAAAGTTACCACGTCAAGACAAATATGAATTTGTTTCATATCTTCTGTGAGAAAATGTGCTGTTAAGCTCATGTAATCAACATTGGCTGTGGAGCTCCACATGTCGGTAGTTATACTAACATAATCAGCTTTCTCTGCCAAGAAACGAATTTTACTTAATACCTTCTGATAAATGTTAGGAATTTCAATAGTCGAGAAGTATTTTCTGCTTGGTATTGTATATCTTGGCTCTAAAAACTGTAGTAACCTTTTGAAACCAGGATTTTCTACTATACTAACAGGTTGGTTATCTGTGCATATCATTTCCGCAATAAGCCTCGTAATCTTTATTGCCTTTGGATCTGTAGATGTGAGAGCCTGGTCTTTGCAAGCACTTGTTGTATTGTTGGTTGTTAAGAAGATAAAGATCTAGGCTTCATTTTAAAGAACTAAGTGTAGAAGAAGAGCTTCTAGTATCGATCTCCACCTCCTCAGACTTAGGGCCGAGACTTGTGAATACGGATGTGAGTGTAGAGGATCGAGGCTCTCTTGGCATGGTCATAGGAGTATCACAGACAGGGTTAGAACTGGATTTAAAAAGCGGTCCTGCAGTAGAGCTGTCCGCGCATATGCGGTAGTGGTGTAGTGGTAAAACACTCGCTTCATAAGCGAGAGGTTCCAAGTTCGATCCCCACCACGTCCCTGGTAGTACCGCGCTCAACTTGTTTCTCCGCGCAGCGGCCTTGTTCGTGTTTCGGAGTTATAGAGTTGAGAGAGGGTTATAACCACTATTAAGTAGCCTCCTCGTCTGTAGTGGTCTTCTCGGCCTTGAGGAGGTGAATAAAAATAAAAAAAAATATAAAAATCGATAATTCTAGCTTTATCCTGTTTCTGATTTTTGATATCAGATTTATGAAAAGTATTTAAATACTTTAACATGTTCGATGTTGTGTATGACTGAGAAATTCTGCCGCCACCTCTGGATATAACTGTTTTGCAAAAGCTGCATATTGCAGAGTTAGTGTCATTTAAATTTATTGCAATGTCCCATACCTCGCTTGTCTTACGTTTTGACATAATAATGATAAAATATTCTAAATTAAAAACAGCATTTATAACAATAAAAAATAATAATACAAACATTAACAATTATAATTAAACAAGCAAATAAAATTATTATAATAGTACTTATCACCGGTTCAAATTTCAATTGAACTTTTTTGGGAGTATTTTGCGTATTTGCAATGTTTATTTTTGTTAAGGGTTTCCTTTTCAGTTTACTCAACTTCAACAATAATTTGAAGCGCTGAAGTTAAAACTTAGAACAAATTAAACAAAAGAAAATCACAACGGTAAAGAGTGTATATTTTTTTCAATTATCAAGAGAGTATTAACGGCAAAGAGTGTTTATTTTATTTCAATTATCAATGAAGATCAACGAAACATTATGCAATAAAGTCTCAAAAAATATTGGAGTGTTGTATAAAGCGAGAAATTTTGTAAATAGACATGCATTAATTCAACTTTATTACTCGCTAATCCAATGTCATGTAAACTATGCTAACATTGCGTGGGGTAGTGCTAATAATAGTCAATTAGAGCCTCTTTATCGGCAACAGAAGCATCTAGCACGTCTAATAAATTTTAAAGATCGTTATACTCATGCAAAACCTCTTTTAATAGACATGAATTTTCTCAATATATATCAACTAAATGATTTTAATGTTCTTTGCTTTATGTACAAATGTAAGATAAACTTAACCCCAATAATTTTTCAAAATTTATATGCAATAAAGCCAAGAAACAAATATGAATTAAGAAATAACAATCTTATTCATCAACATTATTCGCACACAAATTTTGGAAGATCTCTTATATCATATCGCGGAGCTTTTCTGTGGAACCAAATAGTGTTAAAAAACTTTGATTTTTCTAAAAATTGTAGTTTTTTTACTTTCAAAAATAAACTGAAAAAAGTTATCTTGACAATTGATAACATCTTCGAGTTTTTTTGAATATTTTATTTAAATATTTAGTTTTATTACATATTTTGACATTTTTTAACGGTATTTTATGTTTGGTTTTGGCTTATTAAAAATCTTGTATTGTAAATATCGGTATTTTGTTTTTATTTATTTTGTATCGCATTGTTAAACGGTTCTCGGTGACAGGATCTTGCCATCCTCTTCGAGTTTCCGTGTTCCGTGAAGTCATTAAAAAGTCATTTTAGAAAAAATCGGAATTGTTAAGAAAGTAGAGAATCGCGATTCTTACGATTCCTTGAGAATTGGTGGAATCGGTGGAGTCGGAATCGGAATCGGAATCGGCCCATCTCTAGTTATAAACGCAATTTATACGCAAGTTTACTTTTTGCGGTTAAAAAAAAATTCCTCACTTTCGGTTTCTCATAATGGATGGTGTCCTTCAAGTTTAACTTCTTTAGAAGTAGTTTTTTGCGATTTGTGTTTATTTTGTGTTACTTTAGTTAGAGTTATTGGTAGTTTTAAAATTTTATAAAATTGGAGGTAAAAATTGCATAATAAGTCATCTTGCCCCGGTCACGTGACCAGATGACAACTACTACGTACCTATGCCAATTTGCAATTATACCAATATTTGCAAATTCGCACTTATTCCAGTTTGTGCAACTCCTTCGCACTTATGAAATTTGCGTTTATTCTCTCGAATCAGATTCTCTCGATTTGTTGTCAACAAATCAGATTGTCAACAATCTTATTGTCAACAAATTAGATTCTCTCGATTTGTTGACAATAACAGAGCACAGGAAAAATACGGAAATTCGGAAATTTTTTAACGAGTAAAGTGCGGGAATAAATTGAGGATATAAGGTTAGGGGGTTGGAAGTTTTAGTACAGCTGTGGATAATATTTTGTTGCTTCGCTATTGACCAAGTGTTGGAATTAAAATTGCTGCAGAAAGTAATAACTCTGAGAAAGAATTTGATTTTGGGAGTGCATTTCTTCTCGGATTGTATTCTTTAAGCTTTAATTAAATATTGACATATTGTTTCAGACTTATCCTCTATGTACTATGTTATTATCAGTTACACTTTTAGAGTTTTTATTTTATTTTTATTCATTTGATTTTGGGAGAGCAGTCCTTCTCGGATTGTATTGCTTTATTTAAACAATATTGACATATTGTTTCAGACTTATCCTTTATGTATTATGTTATATTCAGTTACATTTTTAGAGTTTTTACGCAGTAATTTTTCAGCAATATTCTTATTAAAATATTTTTTTAATATATTCCATTTAAATATTTATATTGTTTCTTTTTAATTATTATGTGTTGATTTCAGTTTTTGTTCAAAGCATTTACTTTAGAAGTTTATTGCTGTAGATGCCTCGCGCATGCATTCCAGTAAGATTTCTTTTCAGATAATAAAACCCCTTTTTATGTAAAGATTTTCTAGTTTTCTGCATTTGCTTTTACTTTTCTTTGCATCTGTTGGTAGCCATTTATCACCGTGCATACTCAGTTTTTTTGCGTATTTGTGGATTGGTGCTAATCTATTGGAAACAGTTATGTTATTTTTTGTTTTATTCTGCATAATTAACATTTTGCGGTGATGTACAACATGCAGTTCAATGATAAAGTGTGATAAATCTAATTTTTTTAAATTTCATTTATAAAATTAATCAAGAATAGTTTTAAGTTCTTCCAGGAGGTCGAACAATGAAATGAAAAATCTGGGCGCAATGAATAGGATTTGATTGAAAAATTGTGACGATGTTGTATACAACATATAGAAAGTTTTATATTGTGGCTATACATTTGTAGTAGTACCAAGTAGATAAAAGTAACAAAGGTTTAATACCAAAGTTATCTTTGTAAACTATAGGAATACTCGCCCAATCCCCCTTCGCCTCTTCTTCCACGACAGTCTGATCGATTGCATTGAGTTGAATCATGATCAAACTTAAAATACCTAGTTAAAGGTTTTGATATGCTGGTAGGTCATCTGATTTTATTAATGTTTCAGTAATTAGGATGGCATCTGACTAATTATTTATAGTATCATGAATGACGGGAGATATATTTGTAATCGATTGCGCATTTTGGTTACCTGCATTAATTATATTTTTGTTGCAGTTTATAAATCTAATATATAAAGTTTTGAGGAGTTAGAAAAAAGATCTCATTTATTTGTATATTACAGATATGTCACTGTTGGTTTCGTTTTTATTGAGTTTTGCGGGCATTAAGGTGGTTAGCTGGTAAAAAAACTATTTTTTTTAAATATTTGTTGTTTGATACTGAAATAAATACATACAACAACCATCATAAAAATAAATATTTAAAACAAAAAAAAAATTAAAAAAGTTGATTATTTTTTGATAAGTCAGCAAAAATTCAAAAAATTAACTAAAAAGCAAAACATGATTATTTGAAGATCTACAACTGGTATCAGTATGAAATTTGCTACAGTAAGACAATATATGCTTAACTAGTGCCTAAAGCAAAAGTTTTCAAAACTGATTAACTGTTCAAAAATGGCGGAGATTCTTTTAATTTTTATTTTTTTCGATAAATAGTTCAGTGATTAGTGATATCTCATTAAGTCTTTAAGTATATAGCTTTATTTTGCTTTAGGCACTAGTACAGTATATTTTAAACAAGTGTTGAAAATTTCAAGATAAAAACTCTACTAGATCTTTAGAAATCTATGTTTTCGTTAACCCACAAAAAGAATTCTGGAAACCAAGAAAACAAAACATAAAGAAAAAAAATTTCAAAAATTTCCAAGTTTGTATGATTCCTCTCCTTCTAGTTCTTTTTCTTTGTCCAAATAACCTTTTCTGACAGCTTTAATCAACTTTCTTCTATTTATTCCCTCTTTTGTTGATTTTTTGTTCATATTTTGAATCCGTTGAGTGTCTTTTTTGATTAAACCGATTATTGTTTTTGCTCCAAAAGATATTCCAATCTTATCAAAAAGTTGCACTAGTCCAGATATACCATCATTAAAATTTATTATTGCAGATGCAACTCCAACGTCTAAAGTGAAAAGTTTTTGAAATAAATGTATCTTTTGGACACCTTTTCCACACAATTTGATTCAGAGCCTCATTTGGGTTTTGAGTAACTCTAACCCTAACCCTATAACTTTTGAGAGTCTCCACCACACTGCTTTTTAAAAGCAGAAAAAAAGGACATACAGGCTTGTAGTCATCTTATGTAAATATAAATATAGTAATAAAGAAAGATTGTCGATTTCAATTATTTTGTGCCGCAAAATTTTCTGTATTAAAATTTTTACCATGACCTAAAAAAACTGGTTTTTAATTAAAAAAAAACAAAAAAAGCACTATACCATATATATTTTTGAAATCTATGATAAATTTTAAATACAAATCAATAAAATAAAAAAAAACGAATTTTTATGTTTTTTTTACCAGCTTACCACCTTAACGACTGTTTTTTTTATCAGTAAAAGGATGCTTTTCTTTGCAATTAAATAAAGGTAAGCCTATCACTCGTGGTCTTCGAAGTAACTTTTTTTCTGTTTAGTCTTACCTCTTATTTCTTAAGTTCACAAGATCTACTTGCTCTTTGTGAGACTAATTTGAGTTCAGCTGTCTCATCTTGTGATCTTAGGATTGATGGTTATTTTCCTGTAATTCGTAAAGACTCAAATAGTCACATGCTTGGCCTGGGCATTTACATTCGTAAGAATTCACCCGTTTGTCGGGAAACATTCAATCACCTTTCTCTTTGTTTTTATCGCTCTCCTTCATCTCAAGACTGCATTCTTTTTGATGTTATTTCTGATTATATTGACCGAGCCCTCTCTCTTTATCCATTAGCAAATATTGTTGTCGGTAACTTTAATATTCATCACACTGAACCGCTTGGTTCTAGTGTCAGTTACTCGGCAGGCATTAAAGCCCACAACTTTTGCCTTTTCCAACCCCTAACTCAAATAGTCAACTTTCCAACTCGCTTTCCAAACATCGTACATCTTACAACTAACTTAAAGCTAACTGGGATTCTTTCCGTGATTTTCTTCGTGATGGCCATTGGGCGTTGCTTGACATTCGTATCACTATAGCTTCTGTATCTAAAGTGATTTCCTGCTTAGACTCTTTTACAGCATGTGGTCCGGACAACATACCTGTTATAGTCTTGCAGAAGTGTTTTCCGGAGCTGTCGTCTATCCTTTCAAAACTATTCAATAAGTGCTTGTCTTCCAGCCTGCTGGAAAGCAACATCTGTTATACCCATTTTTTAAAATTCTGGATAGCGATCTGATTCATCTAACTATCGTCCCATTAGTCTTCTTCCTATCAGGGGGCATTTGAGCTTGAAAAAGATCTCACTTTTGCTACAGCATGGGGCTCACAGTGGCTGGTGAATTTTAATTTAGATAACAATTAATTTTTTTCAGCCAATCGTTATCGCAATAATTTAGACCTTCCTATATTTATTAACGGTAATGTACTCTATGAGTCATTTTTTCTTCATCTTTCAGGATTAAATCTTCCTTCCGATCTTTCTTGGAAACCATATATCGAATCTGTTGCAAAACTAGCATCTGCTAAAGTTGCATCTCTTTATCGACCTCGACACTCTTACTCTGGATTCTATTCTCTATCTCTATAAATCTTAAATCCGGCCATGTATGGAACACTGTTGCCATATCTGGGGCGGATCTTCTAATAACGCCCTTTCTCTTTTTGACAAGGTGCAAAAACGCATTGTAAACATAGTTGGACCTGCTCTTGCAGCTAAACTCTAACTATTATCACATCGTCGTAATGTTGCTCCTCTTTCTCTTTTCTATAAATACTATAATGAAATCAGGCACAAGAAACGCTAGCTCTGAAGAGCTAGCGTTTCTTGTGCCGTCTGGTAAAATTCATTCTCGTATTACTCGTCATTCAATTAAGTCTCATCATTTTGCTGTGACTGATCCTAAGTGCTCCAAAAACTCTTATTCCTTTAGTTTTTTTCCCTCGAACATTAGTTCTTTGGAATTCGCTTCCTTTATCTAGCTTTCCTGATTCATGTAAATTGCAAACTTTTAAGTAGACTGTCAATCGTTATATATATATATATATATATATATATATATATATATATATATATATATATATATATATATATATATATATATATATATATATATATATATATATTCCATTAAAAGTTGTTTTTTCTATATTTAAGTATAAAACGCTCTGTTTTTGAAAAACTAAATATTTCTTAAATATTGAGCACTCTACAACGATCAAGACTTTAGTATTTTTAATACTAAATCATACAACAACAATATATATATATATATATATATATATATATATATATATATATATATATATATGTATAGAGCAGCCTTGTTGGAAGCGAAGATGTTTTTTAAAAAAACAAAAAGATGTAAAATATCAACACAGCTTACCCGGTTGCTGCGAATGTTAAATCTAAAGGGTTTTTTAAGATTTCCATATTTAAGTAGATTTTAGTAATTAATAATAAAAATAATAGCAGTGATTATAATGATTAAAGATAATTTTAGCGATTATAATAAGTATATACTATCACGACAATAATAATATTATTAATAATAATAGTATCTATACAATTATTACAATTGACGTCATTAATAATAGCATTTTTTTTCGATTAAATTTTTTAGTGCTTATAGCGCTCGAAATAACGGCCAATCGACGATCAATGATCGGCTATTTTTAGGGAAATTTTAAAAAATTCAAGGGAAAATAACCTGTTTTATGCATTTGATCGGCAAGTTTTGAAAAACTATTTCGAGCGCCGTGCTTATAATAATTACTACTACTATTATTATCAATATTGTTAATATTATAATTATTAAACTGAAATTATTTTCATCATAACTTTTTTTATTATTATTATTTATACTTTTTTTATTATTATTTATTATTATTATTATTATTTTTTATTGCTAGTTGCAAATATCCTTATTGCAATAATCTTTCACTTTGTTTTTTTAACTATAAAAATTATAAAAATTTTTATTTTTGAAAATAATTTTATTGCCAAATTTAAAAAAAATCAAAAATATTTTATGCAACAATATATAATTTTAAAAATATCTAAAATTTGAACAATCTTAAGTTAGTAGCAACAAATCATCTTGGAAACCACTAACCAATCATCTTTCAAAATCATTCATCGTGTACACCATAAAACAATCACTCATCATGTATATCACCAACGATTGCAACCGATTTTATTTCGATTTTACCAAACTAAAGTAAACAAATTCATAATAAATTTTGTTACATTTTCAATAAAATAACAAATAAATTATCGGCAACCATCAGCCATATATATGGTTGATGATTGCCGAAATGACATGAAACTTCAAGTTCCATCATAAAGTTTTATTTTTTCATTTAGTTAAACTTTTATACATAATTGATGATCTATTTTGTAAATAATTAATTTACATTATATTGATCACTCTAAAAAAACGTACGAGGCCTTTATCTCTATTTGGTACAAAAAAACTTGCAACAATATATATATACTTTTTGATTATTTTGAGATTTAATCTTTTTCATATGAGGAATAAAAATTCATTATTGTAAAGTTCTTTTATATAATTATTTATATATATTATTTATTATTACTTATTCTTTTGTTTAAAATAAAGTTTTAACTCAAAAAATTTTTTAATTTGGCTACAGACAACATTGGTACTTTTCTTTTGACAACCATTTTGTATGATATCATCTTAATAATAACCTTTTTGCTGTACAATTGGTGAGTTTTATTACCAGAGTTTTGAATTTGTTTATTAAGTTATCTTCAAAACATTTAAATCAGTAAAAACATTGTTTCTTAAAAATTTTCCTTTATTTTAAAGTAAAAATAATTGTATTTGATGTGATATTTAGAAAAATATGAGTACCTAACCAAATTCTTAACTGGGGTACTGAAAAGTGATATTTTATTTTAGTTATGGGAAAAAAAATAGATTTACCACAAAAAATTGTTGCAATCAGGGCAATTTTAAAAAATACTAATCTTTCTCAACAAGAAATTGCCAGAAAATGTGGTATTTCGCGGGTTTCTGTACAAAACATACGCAAAAAATGGCTAATGTGCAGAACTTGACAGCATTGAAGGTTGGTTAAAGTGGCAAAAAAAGAATACTAACCAAGATTATTCTAGAAAATAGTCAGGCCACAAACAATGAAATAACTGAATAGCTGGACCAATCTGGAGTCAAAATTTCAAAGAGAATGGTTCAACGTTGTCTGAAGTAAAAAGTTACTCGTTACTTTTTGAACAGCCTGTCAGATAACAAATCTGTCGAATAAAAAAATAAAAATAACGTAGTCTTTTCTTTTCTGTATTAATTTAAACTGTAAACTTTTTGTTAAGTTGGAGAAGCAGTTGGTTTTTAAAGTTGGCCAATTTTATTTTTATCCGCTTTGCAATGAATAAGAGTCCAGCACCGCTGAATAGACGCTGTCAGGGACCAGCGGCAGGAAAACCAGTGTTAAGTTAAAGAGAAATGTTTTTGATCCATGGAAATGAGTTCAACGAATCCATTTTTCTCGAACTGAAAGCAAGGTACCCATCAACCTCACCTGTACCTTGCAATCTTCTTAAAATCACTGATGAGAAGAAATCTTCATCTGATAAATGTTGCTCAACCTGCTCCACTTCGGCCATCTGGTTAATGTGTTATCTCACATAGACCAGACCTGTTTAAAAACAAAACAATACATATTATATTTTTAGCAATGCAAAAATTCATTTTACTGTACATAAACAACAATAGATGATTAAGCAGTAAAAAAGTAGATAAAACAGATTACACTATGATATTAAAAAAGGAAATCATACCTGCTCCTATAATTTCAGTTCTATCAATCCAGGTGTTCTTGGACTTAGGCAGAGGAACTGCTGCAGCAATCAGTTTTGGGTCTTGCATCATTCTACGAAAACGTTTTTGGACACCATCCTGAATTGCTTTATAAAGGGACAGACATGGAGAATATCTCAAGGCAGCTGAATTTTGTTTTTAACTGAAAGTTCACTGGCAGGAGCCATCCCATGTGTGTGCTGGTCTCAGACTGAAGAATGTTAATTGCTTTAACAACAGGTTTCATAGAAGCACAATATTCCGTCAGGAAAACAATATCAACTCGATTCAACCTGTAGGACCACTTGCACTTGCACTTGCAAGAGGTATGGAATAAATATTTTAAAAAAATGAGAAGAGAAACTTCAAGTAATAACTTAAATCAGTATTATTTTATACTTATTTAATTACACTGATTAAATTATATTAAAAAAAAACACATTTTTATTTTGAATTCTTCACACACATTTCTGATAGCAACAGGTCCTTTTTTTGTATTATCATTAAGATTCTCTCCACAGCCAAATATGTTGAGTTCCACCTAGTCTGATTTGGTCTGATGAGCTGAAGCTCTCTTCAACAGTTTCTGCTGCCAAAGGCAGCTCGTGATTTATATGTGTCATTGTTTTTTTTTCTGTCAAGACAGCATCAGTTGTGGCAATTAATTTTAATAAGTAGCATGCACACCTTTGAGGTGGAGAAAGCTGGTACTCAAGACCACTGTCCTTTCCCAGGATGTCAAACATATCAAGGTACTTGGATTCAGACTCTTGGAAAGAATCTTGTTCTGATTCAACTCTGCTTCCTGATTTTGCTTTTTCTCACCAAAAACACTAAATGCTTTGATAAAGTTTGAGCTGCTGCCTGTTGTTGTTCTCACCACTTTTCCCCTTATTCTGTATTTACAATGAATGTCATCAAGAGTGCCTGCCAGGACATCAAACCTTTTTTTTTCCTTGCTTTATTGGGATTTCTGGTAGCTTCAGGTTTGCTTCCTTGTTGTCCCAAAGTCACTGAAGGCCTTCATCTTTGATGGATATTTTCTCTGTAAAAAAATCTTTGCCATTATTTAAACCAACGCCATACTCATTTAACATGCTAAATTCAAAATGTTTGCGATAACTCCTTTAACACCAAATTTTATGCGGTGTTAAAAGTGTTAAAATATTATAAAAGTATACAATTAATATTAAATTACCTCAACATGCTTGCGGAGGTTTAAGGGAGAGTTTTTATATGCTGCTGATTCAGTCAACTCAGGCCTTGCGATAAAGCGTCGGGCGATGTGAATTTTACGTCGTCCAAGGGCGATTTTGCGTGTAGCTAGGGCTATTTGCGTCGAGCAAAAATTTTTTTGTTTGAGTATATTTAAAGATATTTTTGAGCGGAATTTTAATGAAGTAATTTACGATCATTTTAACATTTGATAAAGTATTTTAAAAACCGCACGCAGTTGAAATAAAAGTTTGAATTTAAAAAAATTAAATATGCTCATTATTTGGAAGTAGAAAAAATTCAAAAATTAAAAAAAAAGTTTAAATCTTTTAAGCTAACATTTTAATAAAATTATTCAGCAATAGCAACGTTGTCGATAAAATTGAACAAAAATACTTTCTTTTAGTTTTAGATTTTAAACTTAAATAATTATTTTACAGGGGTTTGATAGGTTTTAAAATTATTCCATAGATTTAAAAATATTTATTAACTGTTAGACGTATTTAAAGTATTTAAGAGTGATTTCGAGGAAACATTTTAAAAATTGGTGAGGGCAAATAAAAAAAAAAAAAGATTAATATCAAAACGTATTCTACTTGATTCAATAAAAAAGTACAGTTATTAAAATTTTTGTAAAAAGTAACTCAAAAAAATTACTTAAAATTTGCTTTTATGTTAAAAGTTACCGAAACTCATCGAAGCGTGCTCAAGAACAGCTGCTGAAAAATAGAACGTCAATAGTTTTTCGAATAATTTTTAAGAATAATTTTTAAGAATAATTTTTTCGCTGAAATATTTCTTTTATACCTATAAGATTTTTATTCTAACATTTTATTTTATTTTAATAGAAATAAAATTCCTTGTTAACATTAAAAATCTATTCAAAACGTTTGTTTAAGTTTTTTATTAATACGAGTGATTGTGCTTATCAACCGCTTTATGAAAATAAATAAAAATAAATAAATATTATATAAAATCGCTTGTAAAAATATTAGCTATTGCACAGTTTTTAATCGTACAATATTAAAATTTCCAGTTTATTACTCGCTGACTTTTTAAAAAGAAAAAATAATTATTTGAAAAACTTTAAATTACATATTTAAGAAAAAAAAAAATCAAATATTAGCATATTTTATAATCTTTTTTAAATTTAAGTTATAATGTTTTTTATTCGTTTAGTATAGACAAAACGCGACAAACGTCGAGAAAATAAACAAATGTTTTTACATTTTAAAAAACGAAACATTCCAAAACATTTTTAAATAATAACATTTCTACATAAACGATTTAAAGTAGTTTTGCGGTAATTAAATAAATTGGTGCAGTTAATGTCGATAAATATGAAAAGCAAATAAAAAGAATTTAATGACGTCAAAAATCGCGTCGTGCTTATGCGTCGCGCAGTTCTTATTCATCGCAAGGCCTGCAACTTGAACAAACACAGTTTACATTGCATGATAAAGCTGTCGCCTTTCAAAGTAGTCAAAGTAGTCGCTTAAATATAGCCACAGGTTTGCTTCAAAAGAAGTTGGTTGTGATTCCAATTCAGTTGGGTTTGCATCTGATTTGTCCAACTCCATTATTTTTTTACTCATTACTTCATATTGACATAAATGGAACATTGTTTAAAACTTTAACTAAACATCAATTTTTTTATGGTCATAAAAAATAATTCTTTTTTTAAGTTTTTTCTTTTTCAGTATTTTCTTATTCAACAACAACAGTCTTGTAACCTTTTTTTAAAAATAATTGATGCAAACTTTTCTGTTGGTCATTTATGAATTATGAATATTTACACAAGATTTTTAATAGAAACACCATTAAAATTAGCTACTTATGTATGCCGAACGTTAAATCATTCATTAATTCACAAATTCAAAATATTTTATACAATCATAAAAAAACAGCAACAAAAACCTGCAACTGCATCAATAAATCTACTTGGATTATTGAACAACCAGTATCTAAGTAAGAACATTGTGTATCAAGCTACTGTTTCATCCAATAAACCAGACCCTTTTCAAGTTAAGGTATGCAAACATTTAAAAATTTTTTAATTTAATTAAGTACAGTAATGATATAGAATTATCTAAAGAAATTTGGAAACTTATAGAAAACTTTTTGTTTGTTACTAAGTGGAAAATTATCAAACGCTGC